AGTGCACACAATATCAACTGTGCACCAGAGATCACAATTACACCGTTACTTTTTACTTTAATAAAATCATAGTATACAGGTGTATAGTTAGTATCAGAAAGAATAAGTTAATTCATCACATAACTGACCTGTTCTGCCAAGTAATACACCCATGTCATAAAGGCTCGTGATATATCAAATTATTAAAGTTGTTTCATAAATTCCTTATTACATTGACACTCATGTAAGATCCTCTATACCTGAAACACTTGGGGCCGAAATCCTGGTTGGGGCTGAATGACGTTGGTGTAGTCCCGGAGTGTTGACTTGTTGGGAAGGCGCAGGACTCCAGCCTCCTTCAGTGCGTCATAGCCCCTGGAACTCTGATAGTGGAGGTATATCGCAAAGCGGATCATCATAGGATGCCACCGCATCCCTCTTGCATCCATGGTCATGGCTTTCCTTTGTTCCATCCAAAAGAGCTCCATAAACTCATTCTTTGGGGCTACAATTTTTATCAGCATTTTATTCTAGATATCAAAGCTACGATTAAAACACGACTAAACTGAGCAATACTTACCAGATATGTTTAATACCACATCAACCATATGATATTGTTAAGGTACCGTATTTATCCGGCAATAAGCCAATGCCTGGTAATAAGCCAACACAATGGTCATGGCTATTGCAGTTCAGTAAAAATGCCTACAAATAATATTTCATTGTCTTGCAATAATTAAGTCCACCCCCTACTTTGAGTCAGACTTATTATGTGCTTCCCCCTGAGCTTATTGCAAGATAAATACGGAAATAGTGACTGTTACCTGTCTTCGAATTTTCCTCAATAGAAGCCAGCAATCCCTGCGATACCTCCTTTGAGACCAGAGCATCCATGGATTTGATCTTTTGTTGGATGTTTTTTTTTTCCTCTCTTGTTGTTTTTAGCTCATTAATAAGGACACTTGGGCGTAATGTTGACAGGGGTGTATTGGGGTGCACTGCCACTGGTGCTAACTTAACTGACTTAAGTCCATCTGCTAGTGATGTGCAGGATCTACAGGTGCTACCTCCCGACACACCTCCAGAGCATCCTCTCGACCTTATAATTACCTTCACCTTTGCCTTACCTCCCACCACGGTGGTGTTCACAAACCGGTACCCTTGCTGATACCTGAGGGAGATGTTCGCCATGTCCGGTATACCTAGACACTTCCTCATCAGGCCAACCTTCCTCAGAAATGACAGGAGGGGCATCTTTTCTAAGGAGGTGCACATCTCCTGTACAATAACTTCTGCAGAAAAAACCCTCAAAATCAATATCATATAATACAAGGCAAAGTATTGTGAGCAATCCAAAGTCCCCCACCTTCAGTATGAAAAATAAACAAAGGGCCATAACTCCGTAAATATTGGGGCACAAGACCCGATTTTAGTATGCGATACTTTGTCGAATCGTCTTCCCAATATAGGTAAGCATGGAAAATTTGGTGAACGTAGGTGAAATAGCAAGAAAGTTTTGCTCTGGACAAACTTGGACGGACAGAGTGCAAACCTATAGTCCCCTCCAGTAGTACCGATGGGGGACTAATTAGCATTCTGTATTATATTTTATCGCCAATTATCATATGTATACTAAATACAGGCAATTTGCATATATCAATAATTAAGTGAGGATTACCCTTTATCATATCCTTTTGGAAATGATTAACAATAATTAA